ATAGGGGAACAGAAGTTACAGGGATGAGGGAGCCTCTATCCTAGTTCACATCCATTGAATTTAAAAATAAAATTAGAAATCCTAATATTTATAAAATAGTAGTAAATATATTAAATTTTAAATTTTTGCTTTCAAACTTATTTTTTCCATATAATAGCTATAAGGTACCTAGGAATCTTCTATTTTTCAAGAATGTGCATGAATTTACACAGTATAGTTGGACATAGGCCATATAGAGGTTTTTGGTAAACCAATTTGACGACCTACATGGGAAGTCACAACTTCAGAGGTCGTGGCTATATGAGTGGTTATGTCACACTCTTGATGGTATGAGTTTTCTAAGATATTAGGTTTTTTGGCATGATCATTACTAGTTACTTACTAATGTATTATATTACATGCATTGCTGGTATGGTTTTTTTAGCATACCAATATTCTTTCAAGACCTCGCATCATGTGGTGGTCGAAGTCAATGATAATGAGAAATAAGATCTACAGTGCTTTTATTTCAGAGCTACAAGATCATCAGGTAGAAGCTAATGCAATAAAGTAGATTTTTTTAATCTTTATAAAAGTGAATATAGACTAAAGAAAACTATATTTTCTTACATATTCATGATTATTTCAAGAAGGAAAGGGTTAGCATTGTTATCTGACCTTTTCGATGTACATTGTTCGCTATTAGCCACCCCTTCTTCATCCCTAATAACTCAACATGTTTCACTTTTGGAATCTATGTCAGTGGCCACAAATGAAGTCACTCATATCAATGTACATATTCCCTCAAACATTGAAAATTATAAATTGATTAAGTCTATTCAGCGAAGACTTATAGCTTTCAAAGAATCAATAAATAATAAGCATATGCAGATTGAGAATGCCCTGAGTAGTGAGAGCACAAGCATAAGTGTCTTGGAGGCACAAATAAGGTCTGTTGAAGACCAAATAACTGGAGAGCACAATATGGCCCATTGTCTAGTAGATGTAAATACAACTCTAAACACAATTCCTATTGATTTAACTACAATAAAGGAGGAAGAGAATAAAGGAGCAAAGATACCACCTCCAGTTGAGGAGGAAGAGAATAAGGGATTAAAGACACCACTTCTAGTGGAGGAGGAAGAGAATAAGAGAGAAAATACACCACTTCTAGTTGAGAAGGAAGATAAGAGAAAAATGGAGCAAAAGACACCATCCCCAACTGAGGAGGAAAATAATAAGGGAGCAAAGACACCAACTACATATGAGGAGGAAGAGAAAAAGTGAGCAAAGACATCACCTATAGTTGAGGAGGAAGAGAATGAGGGAGTGATCATCTCCTCATCCGAGCCAAATCCATCTAAGTTGGAGAAGAGGGCCACATCGAGCCAACTCCACCTCAATTTGAGGGGAGAGAGGCTGAAATAAAATAGGGGAACATAAAACCATTGGAAGCACTATAAAGCATTGAGAAGATATGAAGCAATTGGTGGTGAGGATTCCATTCATAAAGCCTCTAAAAATGAATAAAATAAAAAGACTAAGAAAGTTAGGAGAGAAAAAAGCTGCAGTTGTTGTGCAAAATATTATTAATGTGTGCCACAAATACATTAATACTTTGCTTAAAATCATCAAAATATGTTCATTTCTTCTCTTAGTTGAATAATTATTCTGACTGAAACCGAGAACAAAAAGACCAAGAAAGTTAGGAGAGAAAGTGGGCTTGGACAAAGGAAAGAATGAGGTAATAAAAATTTCACTATAAAATATCCAATTATTATTAACTTCACTCTAAATAAATTTTGAATTAACTTGCAACCAGAACAGGCTATCAAAGAACAACCTAAGAAGAAAGAGTCATTGCAACCTGTTGTTGAAGAGAAACACGTGGAGAGAATCAGTGCAACAGGCTGCTGAAGAGCAAGCCAAGAAAAATTTAGTGGTCTATCGAGATGAAGATTTTGACAAGGCGTGTTTTATGAGAATTAGATGTTGATGTTTTATGTAGCATAAGTTGATATTTTCTTGTTATTGAAAAGTACTAACAATCCAAAATATTAATTAGGCAGGACCTACTCAACTAAAACTTCAATTCCCCTCTAAGAGATCTAATTCCACCACATTGGGTTGATTTCATTGATAGAAGTTCTCCACACTATGTTGATCTGTAATGATAATATGTTTCGCTCGTATTTTTAATTTATATATTTTAGTTTAGTAATTATAATAAATAATTTTTTAGTATTTTTCTTGAATTCAGAGATGGTATTTTTTTCTTACGAGGCAATATCCATTGAGCAGGAAGGACATAAATTACATGCTTGAAAACCAATATTTAAGCAACGACCATGTGGATCCATTTGTACTAATGTTGATCAAGAGTAGTGAAATTCTTCTTGGCCTGTATGAACCATTTATTTATGTTTCCAGTATGCATTTGGTAAATATCAAATTCACATCTTAACTATAAAGATTTGTTTATATTAATAAAGAAATTCTAATTTCTTTGGATCTTATTTATTAACAGTGTTATGGTAATTTAGAAAAGCATCATAAAGAAAGTAAAATGTTTATTCACATGTAAATAAGCCCGCGATGGCAAATTGTAAATTTATTGCTCTCCTCATTGTGGACAAATAACATTGGACATTATTGGTGGGCATTTTGGCTAAAAAAAGACTATGTTATATTTCATTGCCCAATTCGATACACTGGCAATGACGTTAAGAGGCAAGTTTGTAATTTTGATTTACTCAGACTTCTCATATTAAACAAATATGAATCTCCTAATCTTACTTGTTAAACTAGACAAATCAGACGTCTGAATAAAGATATTGGTGATGCCTTCAACTCTCCCATCATAGAATGGCTCGTGCAAATTGTCAACAACATCTTGCAGTAGAATAATAGTTTTGATTGTGGGATGTACGTTTGTAAATATATAGAGCCCATCATTTCTAAAATATCAATTAAATTGAGGGACCAGAAAGATTGGGCTGAAAAAATACTCATATTTAGGGTCAATCGTGCTTACAGGATATACTATGATACAATCAAATAGTTTCATATGCAACACTCTTATATTTAGGTTCTATCCATTTGATCATTTATTATGTAGATTGATATAACATAATGTAAATTTGTATAATATCATTATTTTATTCTATAAATGTTACATGACTTCCTTAATGAGCACAAGTTATATAATTTGTGTAATATCTTTTTTTATACTGTAAATTTGTGTAATATCATTATTTTATTATGTAAATGTTACACGAATCCCTTAAATGAGTACAAGAATATCAATCCTGCTAATTTATATGGATGTACCAAAGCTACCAATTATTAATCCCGCTCTTTTATTCTCCAATTATCATTATTTTATTATGGTGTATAATTTTTTTATTCTATAATATGGTTGTACCAAAGCTATACAAAATTTTATAAAGTTGGTTAGGTACCTCGGTACAACCAATACAACACTACTGTACTGAGCAAGTTTTCTATTCTCCAATTATTAATCTTGTTGTCTTTGATAGTATTAAAATTTTCAATTGATTTATAGAAAAGTAAATAAATGATGTAAATTCATTAAAGGGGTACTGAGATAAGTTTCCTAGTGATATTATGATGCAAATCCAAATTTGTGTATAATCTCTTCAGTACAATCGTGTAGTATGACCAAATTTATGTGTAATCTCTTTAGCACAATGTATCGGTTGTACCAAAGCTACCAAATTTTGTAAAGGAGGTTCTGTAGCTCAATACAACCGATATAACATGATTGTACTAGGCAAATTTACTATTCTCAAATTATTAATTCCACTCTTTCTATTAGCATTATTGTATACCCTTGATTTATAGGAGGGTAAATAAATGATGTAAATTCATTAAAGAGGTGACTTAGTACAGCTGATACAATAACCTGACCCACAATTACGCAGATTTTTATATTCCAAAGGATGGCAAAAAAAACTTGACCCAATTTATATTTAGCTTGTGTAAATCAAGAGCTCACACATAAATAAGAAAATATTAAGATTATAATTGCATATATCGTACTATAATATAAAATTGGGATCAAGTTTTTACCTGCCATTGTCGGGGAGAATAAAAATTTGTGAAGAAATTTTTAGAAATAAAATTTCTATTTTTAGAAAGTCTTATTTAAACTTTTAAATTTATTATAAAAATATTGTAATGTTGTTTTTATATAAAGTTCTTGAGTGTGATTTTATTTTATGTAATTTTGCAGTAATGCACTTAATTTAGATTCTAAAATACTAGTGTCCTACGATTCTGAATTAGAAATAACTATTAGAAAAATAAAAAAGAAATAAAAAATACAGAAAAAGACCAAAAAATTCAAAAAATGACAAATCAAAATACTCAAAATGCTAAAATCAATCAAGATTTTAGACCTTTAAGAGATTATGCAAACCCTACGGTAGATGAACTTCATTATAGTATTCAAAAACTTATTGTAGAGGCTAATTCATTTGAACTTAAACCTGTTATTATCCGAAAGATATCAAATAATCAGTTTTGGGGAGCACCAACTGAAGATCCAAATTTACATCTTGCAAATTTTTTAAAATTGTGTACTACATTTAAAAATGATGGTGTATCAGGTGATGTTATAAGACTTAGACTTTTTTTTCTCATTGATGGGTAATACTAAGATATGGTTTCATTCTTTAGCATCTGGATCTATTAGAACTTGGGGTGATTTAGCGCAAAAAATTACTTGTTAAATATTTTCCACAATAAAAAACTGTGAGTTTAGAAATGATATTACATCTTTTTAACAGTTAAAATGGGGAATTTATTTTTGAAGCATGAGAATAATTTAAAGAACTAATGTAAAGATCTTCTTAGGAAGTTCCCACATCATGCTATACCAGATTGGTTAATAATTTAATTTTTTTACAATAGATTAGTTGGTTCTCTTAGATCTATTATCAATGACGTTGTTGGTGGTACATTAATGTCAAAACCATTTCATGACGCTTATGCTTTAATTAAAGAGATGACTACTAATAATTTTCAATGGCCTTCTAAGAGGTAAATCTTAAGAAAGTAGCAAATATTCATGAATCTGATGTTCTTGCAATGTTAGCAAATCAAGTTGCTACAACTTCAAGGAATTTAGACCAATTTTGAATGAATTTTTCTCAACCAATTTCAATGAGTGAAGATAATTCATTAGGCCGAATGGTAGATTCTCAAGCATCATTAGAGACTTTGAATGTAATAAACAACAAGTAGAATAACCCATATTCAAACTGTTTTAACCTAGGTTGGAAGAACCATCATAACTTTAACTGGAATAATACTTTAAATGGTAATAATCAGCAATGCAGGAACAGTCAAGTAAACTCATTGAGAAACTAGAACAACCAAGGTAATAGTAATTATAAACCTACTTATTCTCCAGGTTTTAATAGTAATCCACAATTCAATGAGAAAAAGTTGTCTATAGAAGAAGTGGTGTTACAAATGAGAAGTCAATTACAAAGTCAATGAGCTGCAATTAAAAATACTGTAAATCAATTGGAACAAATAACAAATTTATTAAATAATAGATCCCATGGAACACTTCCTAGTAATACAGAAGTAAATCGAAAAGACCAGAATAAAGAGCAAGTAAAAGTCGTTCAACTTAGAAGCGGAAGAGAGTTGTAATGTAGAGTTCAAAACGAGATTGAAGTAGAGAGAGAAGAAATTGAAGAACCTAAAGAGGACGCTTCGAAAGGTTTAGAGAGACATATTTCTCCACTTAACATTGACTTGGAAAAACCATCACATCCATTTCCTTAGAGACTTTGTCAACGAAAGTTGGATAAACAATTTCCAAAATTTTTGGAAATCCTTAAGAAGCTTACGATTAATATTCCATTTGTTGCAGCTTTAGAATAAATGTCAAGATATGTGAAGTTTATGAAGGATATTCTTAACAGAAAAAGGAAGTTCAAAGATAACTAGACTGTTGCAGGTTAGAACACAAGCAAGAAGATGAATTAGATCAATTTGAAGATTTTTATAAGGAAAATTCAAATTATGTTCGAGAAAGTTTTAAAGTTTTGAACACGACAGAAAAAGATAAATCTTTTTATCCATCCATTGAAAAAACTCTTGAACTTGAGTTGAAGTTACTTCCTAACCATTTAAAATATGTCTTTTTAGGTGATTCCTCAACATTACCATTTATAATTTCCTCAAATTCAACTACAGAAGAAGAAGTGAGTTTAATGAAAACTTTGAAGAATTATAAGAAAGCCTTTGGATGGACAATTGCTGGTATTAAAGGAATCAGTCATTCAATTTATATGCATATAATTCATGTGAAAGAGAACTATAAACCAAGGGCTAATTCTCAAAGGAGATTGAATCCTATTATGAAAGAAGTTGTTAAAAAATAAATTTTATAGTGGTTAGATGTTGGAATTATCTACCCTATTTCAGATAATGCATGGGTTAGTCCAATTCGCCGTGTTCCTAAGAAAGGGGAAGTGAGTGTGACTATGAATGAACATAATGAGTTAATACCAACAAGACAAGTCACAGAGTGGTGAATATGCATACATTATAGAAAATTAATCTCTCTATTAGGAAAGATCATTTTCCACTACCCTTTCTAGATCAAATGTTGGATATACTAGTTTGGCATAAATAATTTTATTTTCTAGATAGATATACTAGTTATCACCAAATACAATAGCTCCTGAGGATCAAGAGAAAATAACTTTTGAAGAGAAATCTGAAATCAAAGAGTTAGAACACAAGCAAGAAGATGAATTAGATCAATTTGAAGATTTTTATAAGGAAAATTCAAATTATGTTCGAGAAAGTTTTAAAGTTTTGAACACGACAGAAAAAGATAAATCTTTTTATCCATCCATTGAAAAAACTCTTGAACTTGAGTTGAAGTTACTTCCTAACCATTTAAAATATGTCTTTTTAGGTGATTCCTCAACATTACCATTTATAATTTCCTCAAATTCAACTACAGAAGAAGAAGTGAGTTTAATGAAAACTTTGAAGAATTATAAGAAAGCCTTTGGATGGACAATTGCTGGTATTAAAGGAATCAGTCATTCAATTTATATGCATATAATTCATGTGAAAGAGAACTATCTGATCCTCAAAGGAGACTCAATCCTATTATGAAAGAAGTTGTTAAAAAAGAAATTTTATAGTGGTTAGATGTTGGAATTATCTACCCTATTTCAGATAATGCATGGGTTAGTCCAATTCGCCGTGTTCCTAAGAAAGGGGAAGTGAGTGTGACTATGAATGAACATAATGAGTTAATTCCAACAAGACAAGTCACAGAGTGGTGAATATGCGTACATTATAGAAAATTAATCTCTCTATTAGGAAAGATCATTTTCCACTACCCTTTCTAGATCAAATGTTGGATATACTAGTTTGGCATAAATAATTACTTTCTGGATGGCTATATTGGTTATCACCAAATTCAAATAACTTTTAAGGATCAAGAGAAAAAAAAACTTTTATTAGTCCTTATGGTACATTTGCTTTTAGAATAATGCCCTTTGGTTTATGTAATGCCCCTACTACATTTCAAAGATGTATGATGGCTATTTTTTGCGATTTAATTGAAAAAGGAATTGAAGTTTTTATGGACGATTTTTTGGTGTTTGGAACTGCATTTGAATCATGTTTAGAACATTTATCGAAAGTTCTTAAGTGTTGTCAAGAAACAAATTTAGTCCTTAATTGGAAAAAATGTCAATTTATGGTAGCATGAGGAATTGTCTTAGGAAATCAGATGTCAAAAAATGGTATAGAAGTAGACCCTGCAAAAATTCAAGTGATCGCTAATTTACCTTACCAAACAAATACGAGGGAAATTAAGAGTTTTTTAGGACATGTTGGATTCTACATACGATATATTAAAGACTTTTCAAAAATTGCAAAGCCTCTATGTCATTTGTTTGACAAAGATGTAATTTTTAATAATGAGTGTCTAAAAGTTTTTGAGCTATTAAGAGAAAAATTAGTCACTGCACCAATTATTGTTTCGTCAGAGTAGGAAAAACTACTTGAATTAATGTGTGACGCAAGTGATTTGCTATTGTAGCTGTTTTAGGACAAAAACATTATAGATTTTCAAAGTAATTTACTATGGTAGTAGAACTCTTAATGAAGCTCAAATTAGTATACCACAATTAAAAAAGAGTTATTAGAAATAGTATATGCCTTTGATAAATTCAGATCATACTTAATTGGAATAAAATGTGTTGGGCATACTGATCATTCTGCTATTAAATATTTAATGAAAAAAAGGGTACAAAACCAAGACTGATACGATAGATGGATTCTTCTTTTGCAGGAATTTAACTTCGAAATAGTAGATAGAGGGAGCTGAGAATCTAATTGCTGATCATCTGTCTAGGCTTGAATTTGAAAAATCACTCTGTTTTGGATTATGTAATGCCCCTGCAACTTTTCAAAGATGTATGATGTCAATTTTCTATGCTTTAATTAAGAAAGGAATTGAAGTTTTATGGATGATTTCTCAGTCTTTGAGACTTCTTTCAATTTATGTTTAGATCATTTAGCAAGAGTTCTAAAATACTGTGAAGACACAAACTTTGTTCTCAACTGGAAAAAATATCAATTTATGGTTGCAGGAGGAATGGTGTTAGTGCATAAAATTTCTGAAAATGACATGGAAGTTGATCTAACAAAAATTCAAGTTATTGTTGAATTGCCACCACAATTGAATGTGAAGGGAATTGTTGACCTCACTTTTGGTTGAGGTCTAG